AGAGCCTCAGTACTAGGCAGAACCCCAGGAGGAGGAGGCACCGAAGGTTCATCATTTGGAGCTTCATTACGCAGTACAGCCCCAGAAGACGAAGGCAAATGTTGTTGGAACAAACCCACAAACCTCTGATGATCAAGTAAAATTTGACCATCAGATTCCTGCATCTGGTCGATTTTCCTCTTCATGTTTGTAGCATAGTTATGTGCAAGCCTGTGCAACTGTTTATTCTCATGCTTGAGCCCTCTAATCTCCTGTTTGAGACTCATCACTTCAGCCGCCAAAGATTCAACTTGACGGGTTCGAGCAAATAGGCGTTGGGCCATATTAGACACAGAACTGCACACTGCACACTGAGAGCCAGAGAATCCTTAACAGCCAACTCATCAGACCGTTTGGAAAGCAGTCTGTTATCTTTGGGAGTAACAAGGTTCCTGGCCACCATCGCAGCGGTCATATCATTCTTCATCACCGAATCCCCAACGGTAAGAGGACCAGTAGGGGATATGAAGGATGGGCGCCATATGTTATCTGGAGAAGGCGGGACTGCCTCTTCACCAAGGTTCAAATCAAAACAACGGTCGGAGGGTCCAGACATTTTCAAAGGTGTTGAAGAAAGAAGAGGTTGGACGAATCAAAATCTTATAAGTGCAAGAAGAGAGTTTCTACAAGCGAAAATTCAAGTGTGCTTTGAAACGAACTGCGTGCCTCTATAAAATCAGCACTCAACGGGATTTCAGAGATCGAAGAAGCGAGCTCAGAATTCGAAGAGGCCAATTCAAAAAATCGAAGAGGTGCTAGCTTTCTCAAAAGCTGGGCTTGCTCAGAAACCACGGGCTAATCTTCCTTTCCAGACTTGTCCGCACTTGTCACATGCAACATCTGCACTCGACGGAGCTCAGAAATCGAAGAGGCCAATTCAAAAAAATCGAAGAGACAAGCTCATAAATCGGAGAGGCATCTTGCTTTTCCAGACGCGTCAGCACTCATCACACGCAAACTCAGCTTTGCGAAAATCACGGGTAATTTGTCGAAGCGCCGATCCCAGATATCGAAGAGGAGCCAGTCTTTTTCAGCCTCGTCAACACTTGTCACATGCACACTCAACTTGGCGGAAATTACGGACAATTTGTCGAAGATTTCTGATAAAGAAGAAAGCACGTGAAGCCATACTGATCAATCACCAATGATTGTCGACACGAGTGAAAGAATAATGCCTCTACAGGTATTAAAGAACTTCCTATAACTATCCACCTTCACCCTCCATAGCAAGGCAGACATACAGAACCTTTCTTCATCTCCAAAAATGCTTTCCCAACAAAGCCTTTCAAGTCACTCAGTGTTCCTTATTCCTTGGGGTACCTCTGCAAGCAAATGACTCCAAAGCAAAAGTATCACATATCACCAGGGTAGAAAGCAAGAGTATCTCATATCATGCTTTTTCCCTATCCTTTCCTTTGTCCTTGTTTTTACCTACAAAGACAAGGATAAAGAAAATAATATGCCGGAACCTCCACTCAAACTCGGGTAAGGAACCGACTGCTTGGAACCCTTCCCTGATTGCCTACCTAGCACTGCTATCAAGTACTCGTCTCCCACTGCTGTTGTACTTCCAAAGAAGCTGCCACATCTGCCCGAAGAACAGATAAGGCAAGTGAAAATGATACCTTGCAGCACATGGAGACAACGTGCAAAAGAATGCAGCATGCACGGTCAACTCAGCAGAAGGAGTTTGAGATGAGGAACTCAAGAAGATGCCACATCTGCCTGAGGAACAGATAAAGGAAATGAAAATGATACCTTAAAGCATGTGGAGACAAGTACAACAAAGCACGTGCTGATTCATCCGCTACTTCTTCAAAATCAAAAGTATCTCATATCATCAGGGTTGTAATCACTCTAGACCGCGAACTCATTTTGACCCTCAAATTATTGGGTCGACTTACGAGGCGTTGTGGGCTGCACGTGCCGATCTACCACCCTTGAATCAAATCCTTAAAGATCAAGTCACCAACTGGAAGAAAAGCCCATCAATCTTGAAGATCATACCGTTGACCAAACTGCTCAGGTGTGAATTAGAAAGATTGAACAAAGCAACAAGTCGTCACCTTCACCTCGTGCCTGCTTGCCATGCGTTCGAGTCAACCTTCAAGAATCAAGCCTTAACAGCCCTTGAAGAAGCTTCCAGCCAAATTCAAGATCAAGCCTCGACGGCCTTTGAGGAAATCACAAGTTCGATTCAAGATCAAGTGTCTACCACTCTTAAATCAAATCCAGTTCAAGAATAAGCTGTGGAAAGTCAACAATTGGAAGAATCTAGAAAATCCTCCAACCCAGTTCAAGATCAAAGCTGTGGAAAGTCAACAAGCGCAACAAAATAGGTGTCGATTCATCCACTACCAAAGCCAAAGATCATCTACCACATGAAGCTCCTTGTGGTCCAATTTCAACCTTCAAGATCAAGCCTCGACGGCCCTCGAAGAAATTTCAAACAAAGTATAAGAACAAGCCTCAACGGCCCTTGAAGAAATTTCCAGCCCAATTCAAGATCAAGCCCCAACGGCCCTTGGATCGACATCTACATTAAGGGACTTCAAAACGCATCTCCTACACGTGACAAGCACATGTATACGACGCGCCTTGAAGTGGGGGCATTTGTAGACATCGAAATTTCAGTAAATAAATGTTGACCGATAAATCAAAGTTTCAACGCTCATGTATTACATAAATTTTACACGTAGCGTGTGTCTAAACAAAAAATCGAAATAAGTTGGAAAAGTCATCAAACAGGACACGTGTCAACACCTGGCAGAAACGACTTATTTCATCTGGAATATTATATTCAAAATTAGGCCTTGGAAATTTCTATAAATAGAAGGCTAATTCATTCATTTGAGGGGGACCAAAAATCATTAGGCAAAATTCTTGAAGCTTTGAAGCTCTGAAACTCTGAAGCTCTCAAGCATCCAGGTTCCCGAAGAATCAAGAAAGCTCTCTTCGTTCATCGTTCTTCGTTCATCGTTCATCCTAAGATCAAGCCCCAACGGCCCTTTCGATCAACAATCATCCACCAATTCAAGATCAAGCCCCGACGGCCCTTGAAGAAAGTGTTCTTCGTTCTTCGTTCATCGTTCTTCCAAGATCAAGCCCCAACAGCCCTTTGGATCAACAATCATCCACCAATTCAAGATCAAGCCCCGACGGCCGTTGAAGAAAGTGTTCTTCGTTCTTCGTTCATCGTTCTTCCAAGATCAAGCCCCGACGACCCTTGGATCAACAATCCACCAATTCAAGATCAAGCCCCAAAGGCTCTTGAAGAACTTCCACCAATTCAAGATCAAGCCCCGACGGCTATTAAAGAAAGCACCATCGTTCATCATTCGTTCATCCTAAGATCAAGCCCCAACGGCCCTTTGGATCAACAACGTCGACAAATCCACACATCCAACCGTCCTTCAAGATCAAGCCCAAAAGCCCTTGAAGATCCGTTCATCACTGTTCTTCAAGATCAAGCCCAAGGGCCCTTGAAGATCTGTTCATCACTGTTCTTCAAGATCAAGCCCAAAAGCCCTTGAAGATCCATTCATCACCGTTATTCAAGATCAAGCCTCAACGGCCCTTGAAGAAACACTCATCCTCAAGATCAAGCCCCAACGGCTCCTTGAAGATTCACTCAAATCCACCTTCAAAGATCAAGCCCACGGCCCTTAAAGAAACTTCCAACAGTTCATCCAAAATCAAGCTTTGACGGCCCTTGGATCAACGAAACATCCACAAATCAACACCTTACGAAGATCGAATCAGAGGATCAAAATAGAGAGAGATTGTAACCCAAAATCATCAAATACAAATATTTGTTTGTGCACGTTGTTCTTGTCTCTTTCGTTTCAGGAATTTTCCGTGTTCACATTTCCCCAAGTAAAAAAAATTATCAATTATAAACATTTAACACTAACTATTTTTCGAATTGGATAGGAGCACTGATACTATTTCTTAAATAGAACACTAGTACTATTATTATTTCTTAAACCAAATATTAGCACTATCACTATTTCTTAAACTGAGCACTGGTATTATCACTATTTCTTAAACTGAACATTCACTATTCGTAAACTGAACACGAGCATTATCACTGTTTCTTAAACTGAATACTCACTATTTTGTATACTAAACACGGGTATTATCACTATTTCTTGAATTTAACACTAATATTATTATTATTTCTTAAACTGAATACTGATTATTTCTTAAGTTGAACACTAATTATTTTTAGAATTGAACACATGTATTGTCACTATTCTTAAACTAAACATTGACTCTTTTTAGAACTGAAAACTGACTATTTATTAAATTGAAAACTTGTATTATCATTATTTCTTAAGCTAAATACTAACTATTTTTCGAATTGAACAATGATATTATCATTATTTCTTAAATTGAGTATTGATATTATCACTAATTTTTAAACTAAACACTATTTCTAGAATTGAACATGTGTATTGTCATTATTTCTTAAACTGAACACTACTATTATCACTATTACTTAAACTTAACACGAAGTATTTCTTAAACTGAAAACGGGTATTATCACTATTTCTGAAACTGAATACTAATACTATCACTGTTTTTGAAAATGAATACTAATACTATCACTATTTTTTAAACTGAACACTGACTATTTCTAGAACTCATCACTGATACTACACTATTTATGTAACTGAACATTGACATTACCACTATTTTTACAATTGAATATTGCCACTATTTCTAAAACTAAGTACTAACACCATTTGTAGAACCAAATTTGAAAGTATCAATTTTGAAGAAGCACGGAAAGAAAGCGCATGAGGAGAGGATTAATCTTTTCTTTTGATAAAAGTGAAATTATTCAAATCCAATTAATTCATAATTCAATTGTAAATTACAAAAAAGTGACGCTTTGATAAAAGAAGGGCATGATCCTGCAAATATATATTCTGTTTTGTGCAACCAAACATAAAGGGTTGTGTGCGATTGTTAACTACACCAAATTTTATTTCAGAAAAGAAAAATGCAATACAATTGTAAATCTCATCTTATGCAATATAGTTCTACATAGTATGCATGGATCTTATCCATTTATATGTAGTACAAGGCCAGTAATTAATTAAACTCCTTTGCTTTTGGGTAGTCTGCATATATTAATTAATCCCTTGAGCACTCATCATCTTATGTGCAAATCCACAGATATATCTTCATCAACGAGTTCAAAAACACAAATTGCTTTGCTTTCAAACAATTAGGCGTGCGCCTAATCAACAAGGGATGAGATGATGTCTGCCATTCTGCACACTTGTGGTTTAATCAAGACTTAGATCCACAAAAAATAAGCAATAACAAAGTCATCAACAACGTGATTTGAACAGAAAACAGTTTCATTTCGGAAAACTCACCTCCAACAGCAGTAAATGGTGGATGAGACGCCAGAAGGCTACTTTTTGGCAGCCCGAGAAGAAAACAGAGGTTTTACTCGAGGAGGCTACGCCTTGGCAGCCATAGAAATGATCTGAGAGCGGTAGAAATTCTACGATTCCCAAAAGCCCTTCTCTCTCTTCATCTAGAGCGAAACAGAGTAAATAAACGAGCTAAAGCTCCAATTAGGGGTAAAATTGGAAAACCGTCCAGTTATTTTGCTTGGACCAATCTTATTGGGCTAGTTGGATATTGGGTTTTCTCCTAACTATTAAATAAAATTATTAGGTGGTTTTTTGTCAAAATTCAAAATTTTGAAACCATTTTCATTATTTTTTTTCTTTAATTTTATAGGTTAAACGTAGGTTTGAATTCTGTTGGTGGTTAATCTAATATCTAATTTAACAAATAAAAAAAATATAGATGGCTCCATATGCACCCAGGTCCCAGCCACCTGATCAGTGTTGTGCACCCAAATACTTAACACAAAGGAAGCAACAACCAAACTATGGTTCTCTGAGATGGGTCCCCACCTCCCTCTTAGATGGTGGGATTACCTTGAAGCTTTTTGTCATGGAGTAGGATTATCTACCCTATTTTTTTTCCTTCCATTCCTTCCCCTTTTATTTGAACGGTCACGGTTAAATCACGTCAACATCTTATATTAATTTTTTATAGCAAGAGAAAGACAAAATAATAGAATATGAGAGGATGGGATAGAAGGGGATAGAAAGAGGAGGAGAGAGAATCCTAGTCCTTCTGTCACATATTCTAATATGTAATATACTCCATATTTCAACGGTTTATGACATGTTTACATAATGGTAATAGGAATCAAAATGTGAAATTGAATTCCGATTACAAGATTATCTAATGTTTACTAAATATTGGGAAATCAAAAAGTTGGTGGGATCCACACGAATTTTGGAATCCCACTCCAAATTTTGGAGGAATTGAATTGTTAATATCCCGTCCCGAAATTTGTTTATTTATTTAATTTACATTTTGGGAAAAAAACGATTTCAATGGCTTTTTGGTCATATTTTAAATTTTGCTTTGGTGTTTGGAGGTAGGTTTAGAATAGATGGATAGAATTCGAACCTATGAACATTTAGGCAAAACCATGTTCGCGAATTGGAATTGAAACGAAAAAGTTAGTAGCGTTATAAGTGAGAGGCATTTTGGACTTTTAGAGTTACTGTAAATAACAAGTTTCCAAAACATAATTTGCCAAAATTAGACATATTCCATTTCTGGAAACTGAACCCATACAGCCTAAAACCCCACTAACCCAAAACCCACCCCATCGATCCACCAAGCTGCGCGATCTTCATGTTTTCCGATGTAAATTCTAGCCAACTTAGAATGAACTAGACCATGCCACCACCACCATCTTGAAACTCGTACTTCCCTCTACAAAATCCACCAAAGAACCATCCCATTGACCATTGTACATGGCAGTTCGATGCCACGAAACCAACACATTTTAGCGACTCTTTTCCATTTTTTGGCAAATCCGCAAAGCAGCGATCAACGTCATCCCATGAGTAAAACCAAACCAACTCCGACATCATTGGACCACCGTAGGCAAAGAATTGATGTTGTAAAGTTTCGAATACCTATCACCTTTATCAACAAAATTGACCGTCTTTCGTCCATTTTTAGGCTTCGTCGCAGGTATAAAAGTTGTTCCACTTGTTGAGCTCTACATGCGTATAAAATTGGTGTCCTTTGGAGGTAGATGAAAAAATTGGTGTCATTCTTATTAAGTTTTCTATCGGAGCATTGTTGGCTCATCGGGACATATGATGTCTTAGTGACGTGCACATCATTTTGCATGACGATTCAATTGTGTTGGATCTAGGTGAGTTGATTTTAAGATTATGTGACAAGTATTTGCATATGAAATTCTCTTGTTATATACTTTGTGTGCATAGCATGGAATTACAAATGGTTATTACCCGGTCATCGATATGCTTTATAAAATGTATATGTATATATATTTGAAATGTTTGTGAACTTAGAGGGCTAGTAGAGGACTAATACCTTGTATACTTCATTTCTCGTTTCATATGTGGATATTAAATCCCTAGTATGTTACCTTTCTTTATGATTCCATGAGTGGTTTTGAAATCGTGCTTTCTTTTTCAATAGGTTCCATGAGTGGTTCTAGAATGCTACATCTGTCTTGTTCCATGAGTGATTCTGGGATCTACATCTTGTCGGATTTCATGAGAGGTTTAGGAATCATGTGCATAGTTTATATTCGGTTCCAAGAGAGGTTCTGGAACCCTACTTTGTGTATCCTTGTTGTTCGATTCCATAAGAGGTTCAGGAACACGAAACTTGATGATGTTGTTCTAGCCCTATGATTTTAGTAAATGTATGAAATTGATGATTGGATGCATGTGTGGAGTCAAATGAGATTTATGAGTGAGGATTATTATATATATATATATATATATATATATATATATATATAAAGGATTGCAAACTATTGATTTTAAGTCACATAAATGGTTTGTCACTCACACGACCTTTGCAGCTTATCCGGATTTTACTTTGCTTGATGCTCCCTTCCCACGACTTATGATCGTATTGGAAAGTAATAGGTAAAGGTTAGAGAAGAGGTTTCAAGGGGTATAGATGATGTGTGCAGTGCATTTGAGAGTAGGTTTGTTCCCTTTATTGTAATTTCGTTTTCATTGAATATCTGATGTATATTATGTATGAGTCCCATCCGACTCTATGTATACAATTGCCACATGTCAATCCCATACATATCTTAGGATCGAGGCGTGACATGAGTTCCCTACATCTAGGTTGGAATTAAATTATGGGTTGTTAGGGAAATCCAGAATGGATTCTTCCTCCCCATTATACCCTCACTTATTTCTAAAATTTCAAAATTACCATTTGCATTAACCCAACAACTGGCTAGTTTAATATGAAATTTAACAATAATTAAAATAAATTAATAAATTAATTTTTGTGTGTTTAGTATTTGGTGAATATAGACATTTAACATTTTTTTCTTCTATTAATTAGTATATAAAATTTAACCAAAAAATTAGTATATAAAATAATTTATTTAAACCAAGGGTATTTAGTAATTATATTGATTTCCATTCTGATTCAGGTGAATTAGTAAACAGTTTATATAAAATCTAGGGAACTTTAACGAAAAGCACCCGGTACTGTTCACTTTAACGAAAAACCACATTTTTACACTAAAAAGTCAATCATGCTACTATTCACTTTACCCTTTATTTTGTCATTATCATTAAAACTCAAAGTTTTCAAGCCCTTTTCATTAGTTTTCCTTAAAATCTATACCAATTTGAGAAGGTTTTACTAAACAACTACAACAAAATCCAATTCTAACTCATCTCTATTCCAACTCCATATCAATTTCATTTCTCCTTAATTCAATTCCTTCTATTTGATTACAAATTAGTAAACGAGCCATGAAAGTAATTATAAGTGTACAGTACAGGAGTGTGAGAATCAACACACTACAATTTATTGTCAATATGTCGAGTATCTTAAAGTATTATGTTTGAAGATTTTGCGTTATATTATCTATATTCAGTACATACAATTTAAGCTCAATATCAAGCCTGAATTTTTTGGAACTCGCATGGCACGCCAACGGCTTGAGCTTGAAAAAAATGTTGAGAAATGTTAAGGAAACTCTCTAAAAGTGAGACTTTTCATATAATTTCTGTCATCTTGCGGTTTAACATCAATTCCCCTGCCAACATAATAAAATATTGTGTAAAAAAAAAGTGGTGGCAGAGAATCTAGGAGAGTCCCACTTTTTTTTATAGGCAAAATAAAACTTTAAATTAAGATAAAGAGAAACTCGGGGACACCCAAGGCCTCTACAGTCAAACAACAAAGCATTTGAAGCTTGTTTAGGAATACAACCATCCCAAATGAAAGGGTTTTTGCAGTGATGTCCAACAGCGGTGATGGCATCTGCAGTAAAATTTGCTTCTCTAAAAATGTGATTCCACGGAATTAGATCAAATGAGGTGGAGAGCCATCTCATATCTTCCAGAATTGCACGAATTTTCCAAGGAACATCACATTTCCCTGCAACAATCCCCTTCAACGATGATCTTCCTGAGCCCACAAATTTTTGCAAGATGCAGGGTATCCCTCAAAGCCAATGCCTCAACAGTGGTAATTGTGCTTTGACCAAGGTGTCTGGATCCATCAATAGCCGGAAAACCCCTATGATTTCATATAATAATTCCCGCAGCAGCAGAATCTCTCTCCACAGAACTGTGAAATCCCGTGCTTGGATTTTCACTATTAATTATGTATCTCATTATTTAAATTTGTATTTCACGTTTACGTTATTTTCCTTAGTTAATTTTAATTCCGTTAATTTTAGGAATTAAATCGATTAGTTATCGGGTTTGAATTTTCATAGCTAATCTTTAAAAATTCGTTGACCTTTTGAGGTCACGATTAATGTTTTCGAATAGATCTCGAACCCACGAGTACATAAGCGAAAACCGTTTGTGAGTCCGGGTTATAACGGTGTAATTATAGACGTTTGAAGTTGTGATACTATAGATTTTAGGAATTATTAAACTCCCACTCTATGGGAAAGAGGCCTAATCAGATATTTGGATTGAAGGACTAATCAGTTAGAAGAGGGAAGGGACCAATCAGATTTTAAAATAGTTTAGGCAGCAACCAATAAAAAAACAAGGGAGGGGGGAGGAGGACCAATCGAAAAGAAATGAGGCAAAAAGACCCCTTTCCCGTCAACCCACCCAACCAATTTCGACCCGGTTCTAATTCCGGCCGTTTCCACCATTTTTCCCGTCAAACCACCACCAACCAACACCTGCAACCTCTTCTACAACATCCCCTCTACCATTCCCACCCAAAATCATATGAAATTTAGTTGTAGTTTGGTGAAAAACCCACCATGGGTGCCGCGGGAAATAAACGATGTCCTTCAATTACCACCACCAATCTAGAGGCCAGGAACAAAGCCCAAACATTTTTAGGGGCGGTGGTGTTGCGGATTGGTCGAATTGAAGAACACCCACAATCTAGGGTTCCGGCGGTTTGTGGGAAAATTCAGGTGTTTCCTGTCCAAATTGGACTTGGCCACAGGTATGAAAATTGCTCCCCTCACTG